TCTTTCTTTCTTTCTTTCTTTCTTTCTTTCTTTCTTTCTTTCTTTCTTTCTTTCTTTCTTTCTTTCTTTCTTTCTTTCTTTCTTTCTTTCCCTTGCAAGTTTAAAAATATGAAATTATTTTTTTCTTTTTAATAGAAAAAAGACTCCTCTTAAAATCCCCTTATGCATATGGCCAGTAATGCTATTTCCCCACTTTAAAAGCAGCAGTCAGGAAAGCAGAGACCTCCTTTTCCTTCACCCCCTGCTCAGCCCCAGCCCCAGGGGCCCCTCGGTGCTTGGGTGCGGGACGGGGTCTCTGCCCCCGCTGTGGTCGCGGCCCCCGACGCTGCTCCTCGCCTTGCAGGTTCGCCAAGCTGCTGCTGCGCCTGCCTGCGCTGCGCTCCATCGGGCTCAAGTGCCTGGAGCATCTCTTCTTCTTCAAGCTCATCGGGGACACCCCCATCGACACCTTCCTAATGGAGATGCTGGAGACCCCTCTGCAGGTCACTTGAGGCTCTGGCCAGCGGAGTGGCCCCCAGCCCTGCCGGGGCCCTGTGTGTCCTCCTTCCCCACTGCCCCAGCCCTTGGGGGGCTCCAGAGGCGTCCCCCACTCCGCTCCTCCGCAGCGGGATCGTCGCACAGCTGGAACCGCCCTCGAACCCTCCCTCACCCGGCCCCAGGGCCCCTGCGGATTCTCCCACCAGCTAACCAGCCACCTGCCCCCTGCCCTGTACAGATAATCACTTTAAATTATTTTTTCACTCTCAATAAAGGCCAAGGGACCAAATATATGATGTATGAGAGAGGYGCCAAGTGGACGGTCAGGACCGTGTCCCCCTCGGCCAAGGTYACGGGTCCTGCACAGGGCTGGGGCCCCTGACAGGACTGCTGCAGCAGCTGCCACGGAGCAGGTAAAGGCTGAGCAGCCTCCGGTGTGTCCAAGGCRCACGTGGGGCTTATCCTGAGGGGGAAAACGTCCTCCCTGCATCCCGGCGGAGCTGCCTGGATTRTCGTTATTGGGAAAACAGGCGCAGTGTTAAATGACGGGCCGCTCTCCCCCGCAGCCGGCGGCGTGGGATGCGGCCGGGCTGTGTGCGGCCCCTGCCCGCTTGCAGTGCTGGGGCGGCTGGGAAGCAGGGATGGCCGCGGCGACGGCAAGGGGAGAAAGGTAGGAAGGAAACGGTCTGTTRGGAGCTCCATGTGGTGATGGCTCATCATCCAGTCCTTCACTGGGAAAGGAGGTAGCCTCCAAAGAGTAGAAGAAAGAAACTGGAAGCCAAAAGCTATGAAATCCGCCACATTCACTCTCCCCCCCCCCCCACCTATGAACCTAAAAAAGTTTGTCCCTTTCCAGAAGAAGGGACAAACAGTGACCAAAGGACTTTATTTATTTATTTATTTATTTATTTTAATTGAAAATGAAGCTTTCTCTTGAAAGGGAATTTTTTTCTAAGGAAGAAGCAGTGTCCAAGCTGTTCTTTGGGAAAGTCAGGCTGGGGAGCTTGATGTGTCCTGCCTGCAGCTGGGGCTGCATGGAGCCCCAGGACCCGGTGCCTGCTCGTGGTTAAGCAAAGCGAGGGGTTGTCTCTGGCCTGGGCTGCTGTGGGCTCCTCAGAGATGGTCCCCAAATAGCTCGTCTTGGCTTTGTTTCTGGTCACCAAGCCTTGCATCTCTCTTGGTTCCTCCCCGCCTCAGGTGTGGCAGTTTGCATCAAGGTAAGCTGGTGTTAGGTTAGCTAAATTGCAAAAATTGATGCCATCTTCTGAAGATAATTTGATGTTAATGCTTTTTGGTTAAGTGCACCGAATAAGCTAACCCTGCAGAAGGTGGTGCCCAAGTGCAATCTAGGGCCAATTCTTCCTAATATTGTCGGAGCAGAAATGTTCATTTCCGAGGAACTCGAAGGACTGCACGAGCTGTTAAATCACCAAGCTGTGTCTCTGTGAATAAGCCGTGGGGCAAAACCTGCAGCATGGGGCAGTAACTCCAGCGTGCCCTTCTGCTGCAGGGTGAGCTGCTGCAGCACGCGGGGCTGAGAGGGACGAGACCTGCTGGAGAGGACAGGCTGCGGCCACGGCGGTGACACTGTCCCTGTTTGGAACTTGCAGGCTGTGTTCAGCACGCCTCTTGCTGCAGCTGTGATCATCAGTGTCCTCGTGGAGCTGCAAGGTTTAATTTGGCTGAGCCATCCCAAAGCGTTTTGGGCTACACTCACTGCTCTCTGGTAGAGGTTTGGCGGAGACAGCGTGATGCCTCTCGGTGGTTTAGTTTGAGTGACGAGGGATTCAGACTCCCTACTATCACACATCAGCAGAGCAGCTCAACACACAGCCGACAGAGAGAAATAAACTGGGCAGCAAAGTGGGCTCCAGCTGCCCAGCTCAGATGTCCAGTGTCTAGTCCAGATGGCCCCGCACGTGCCCACCACAGTCAGCACAAGAAGAGCTTGCTAATTCTCATGAACAATTTCCCTAGACTGTCTTGATGTTGATCTCAAGGCACTGCCTAGGGAGCAAATCCAGACTGTTATCTGCAGTATGAACAGCCACGTTTTGCATTATTTAAGTTATGGGTGGTGATAACCAAGTCTAGGACTGACAGTCTCAGAGTGACCATTTGCGGCTCCTGAACACCCCACTACAAGTGTCTCAAGGTAAAATACCTGGTTTTGAGACACCAGATCTTCAGATGTTGTGTAGAATATGGCTTTATTTTTTTCCTCCCAAACCACTAGTCCTTTAAAAAAAAAAGTGGTGCTTGACCACRTGCTTGACCTCCAAGAGTCTGGTAGAGACATGAGCTATGGAGTGTGAAAAATAAGGTAGTGTCTGCTTGTCTGAAACTGTCATCAGCAGACGGCTGCCTTACACAGAGGGAAGAAGTCATTGAGCAGCCCGGATCTATCCACAGTCGCTGAGGACCTGAGGTATGAAGCAGCCTCCTGGGTGTACTCCTGTCCCTTAGATACTTCATCTCTGTGAAGGACTTCTAGGTACGTTAGGTGGTATCTAAGTGCTGCCCAAGAGCAGTCCTGCCCCAACACCCTCATCAAAAAGTGGGACTGCCATCCCACAGCACTTAGTAATAACTTACTAGTATGGTTTTGCTCCAGGGTGAATTGTTGCAGAACTTCAGAATGACATCCATGGAACTGAACGTATCTGCAGCCCCGAATAAATAAATAAATAAATAAATAAATAAAATGGTAAAATAGGAGAAATCACTATCATGAATATCACGTCCTCAGCCCTGGCTTTTTCACAGTTATGGTTGCACACAAAAAGAGTCAAATTCCAAGAAATGCCAAAGACTGAAGTCCATCCAGTGGTGGCATTTGTCCTTGCAGCCATAAGTCAGGATGATGGCCTCAAACTCCAGACACATCAGTCACTTTTCAGGAAAAAGAAATAGAATTCSTGTTTGAGAAACAAAGGATCCAGCCTTCTACCCCACTTACTGCAACTTGGCTCGTTCTAGCTCATCTGTGTGATTGGTACAAGGCAAAATGTCCTATTTTCATTCCTACCAGGCATCACCTCTCATGAGAGTTCTGAGTTAGCAGCAAGTTCCCACCACTATGGATGAGCTCAGTTTTAGAACATGGGCCAAAAAATTCCAAATATTTATTAATTCTAAACTGCTTGCTCTGTAGTTCTCTGTGCAAGGGACTTTAAAAAAATGGTGGGGTTAGCAAGTTATAGTAAGGACCTTAGAAAAGTAAAAAGCAAAACCAAACAAACGAGAAACAGCCTCCTCAAACTTCGTTGATTTCTATAAACTGGATTTGTTTTTTATCCAGAAATTGAGTGGGGGTGTTTTCCTACTCTGACATAGTCCGGGTTCCTCTGTTACTTCTTCAGCTCCTGTCGAAGTTCAGCGAAGTTTGGATATGTTAATTCTGGTTTGGGAATTAAAAACAAACACACACACACAAACAAAACCACAGAGAGGTTTGCGCTGCATTTGGTTTTGCATTCGGTTCAGCTCTGGGCTTGCTGCTGAGTTTGGTAATTCAAGGGCACATCCTTTGGACCCCAGATGACTTTCAGCCACCGGTGTTGCAAGAGTGGATGCGATCACGGCATGACTCCGAGCCGAGTGCCAACACTTCTGCCCTTTCCTCAAGGACTTCTGGGCTGGACTGTGCCCTGCTCTGAGCATCGCCATCGCACCGGAGCTTCTCCTGCGGCTCTCGTGGCTGCCTCGTTTCTTTATTTGTCCCCTCTCCTCCTCCCCATCCAAGTGGAGGTTCCTGGTTGTGGTGGGGACAGAGTGGGAAGAGTGCCCCTGAGCCGTTCCTATTTGTTCCTCTCAGAGAGTGACCATGTCCTCCTTGCCCCGTGGGGTAACAGCAGTGCAGGGATCCTCTAACCTCTGCTCAGCCTGTGGCTTGCTGCTCAGTGAAGGGAAACTGAGTCATGCTTTGCCTTGTCCTTTTAGATCCCRCTCTCTCAGTTAAATACTGTGCAAATGCAGCAAACTGGGGGCTGGCCTCAAGTTAGACTGCCAGATCCTGGAAAAGATGGACACAAGTCACAGGCAGTGGATGATCTAGTAAAGACCCCTTTCCATTACATACTAAGGTCCCTGCCATGAGCCTGATTCTTCATGGACTGAGGGGGGAATTAATTCCCCTCCACTCCTGGTGAGGAAGAATGTGACAGGGGAGCAGCATCCAGAACACTCTTGGCAGCTGCCCCTGCATCCCTGGTCCCACTGCATCTTTCTAACATTCCTGAAGGACAGCATCCCTATCCTGTAGGATTGGCTTCTGGTTGTGTAAGGGAAACCTGCCAGCCCGATGCCCCAAGCCCCTGCTGACACCGCACTCCCTGCTCTGCTGATTTCTTGCCATTCTGGCTTTGCTAGGTCAGGCTACCGAGACACTGGGCTGGCTGGAGCTGCTCAAGGACCCTCAGGAGGTCCAAACTGAGGCACCAGAGCCTAATGCTGCAGCTCAGCTTGCCTCAGGGGCAGACCCRAGCCCTTCCACACTGACCAGTACTATTGTACTAGTGCCCAGGTTACCAGGATAGTTCCACTTGAAAACATGGGGTCCATCCTAGACTCCCGTATTTTGTTTCCTCTCGGGAAATGCAGACAGGATGCCCGTGCTCACCTGGGCACTCCTCAAGGACACGACCTTGGTCCCTGTGTCATTCRTGCCACCCCCCTGTGGGGATGTCTTGATGAGGAGGCTGCCCCCCAGCTTTGCTTCCCAAGAGGCTGTGAGCGCTCAGACCCCTGGGTGCCAGCGGGCACAGGAGGGCAGACCCCCAAACCTCCCCAGAGCAGCCCCATCCTCTGCAGAGGCGCAGCGGGTCCCTCGCAGGCAGTACGGAGGTGGGGGAGGCTGCGGGTCCCCGCTGTGTCCCGGCCTGCCCGGGAACAGGGAAAGCCCCGAGGGCAGAGCAGGGAGAAGCCCGGGGGCTCCGGGAACATCTCGCCAGGCGCCGGGCATCTTCTCTCCTCCCAGCTCTCCCCATTTCTCGTTTTTCAGGGGCAGAACGGGCTTGGGGATGGGAAGCCCCAAGTCCCACCATTCCCAGACGGGGGTTTGAAGGAAAAAGGAGGGGAATCCCATGCGGGTTCCCTCCGCAGCCGACGCGCTTTGCTGGGGCAGCCACCCTGGCCCCTGCGGGACCGAGAGACCCGCAATGAGTTAAACCRTGCTCAGCGCCGCCCGGGGCAGCGGCTGCAGGTGACGAGCGCTCCCAAACAGGTCTCCAGCTTTGATTTTTTTTTGTTCCCCAGCAATCGTTTTCCTTAAATAT